TATTATGTTAAAAAATATATATAACAAACATTTGCCATATCAACCATTTTTTTGTTTTACCATTTTTTTACCATGCTGTTCAACCATCATCACTATCCATTTACAAATTTTTTCATCACCCTTAACAGACACAGTGCCCAGCCCTAGTAATAAGCTTTGATCTCTATGCATTTACCTGTAAAACAGCTATTTTTTGTGACAGACATTGTACCACAATAACAAAATCTTTACTAGAAGAGTTCAACAGCAAATGTGAGCAAGCAGAAGAAAGAATCAGCGATCTTCAAGATAGGTCAATTGAAATCATCCAATATAAGGAGGAGAAAGAAAAAAACAATTAAAAATAATGAAGAGCCTAAGAAGCTATGGGACACTGTCAAGTCTACCAACATATGCATAATGGAAGTCCCAGAAGGAGAAGAGAGGAGGAAAAGGACAGAAAGAATATATGAAGAAACAATTGCCAAAAACTTCTTCCCAAATTTGAGGAAAGACATGAATCTACACATCCACAAAGCTCAATGAACTCCAAGTAGGAGAAACTCAAAAAAAACCACACCAAGACACATTATCATCCAACTGTTGAAGACAAAGAAAGAATCTTGAAAGCAGCAAGAGAGAAGCAACTCATCATACACAAGGAATCCTCATTTAGATTAATGGCCATTTTCTCCTCAAGCCATGTTGGCTTGAAGGAAATGGGACAACATATTAAATAAAGTCCTGAAAGGAAAATAAAGTCAACCAAGAATTCTATACCTAGCAAGATTATTCTTAAAAAAATGAAGGTGAAATTAATACATAACCATATAAACAAAAGCTGAGGGAGTTTGTTGCTAGTAGACCTGCCATACAGGAAATGCTAAAGGGAGTCCTTCAGGTTGAAGTGAAATGACACTAGACAGTAAGTTGAAGCCATACAAAGAAATAAGAGCACTAGTAAAGGTGACTATATAGGTAAATATAAAAGCAAGTATTACTGTAATTTTGGTTTGTAACTCCTCTTTTTGTATATCATTTAAAAGATAAATACATTAAACAATAATTATAAATCTATGTTAATGGGTACACAATATATAAAGATGTAATATGAGAGAATAACAACATAAAATGGTAGGAATGGAGCTGAATAGGAACAGAGTTTTTGTATACCATTGAAGTTAAGTTGTTGTTAATTCATTTAGGCTATAAATTTAAGATGTTAATTGTTAACTCCAGGGAAACCACTAAGAAAATAACAAAAAATATACAGAGAAGGAATCAAAACACTACACTACAGAAAATCATTAAACACAAAAGAAGGAAGTAATGGAGGAATTGAGGAATTGTAAAGATATAAAACATACAGAAAGCAAATAGCAAAATAATGGGGTAGATCTTTCCTGTCAGCAATTACTTTAGAGGTAAATGGATTAAACTCTCCAATTAAAATCCAGAGACTGGCAGAATGTATTTTTTTAAAAAATCCAACTATATGCTATCTACAAGACACAAAGACACAAAGAGGTTGAAAGTAAAAAAATGGGAAAAAAATATTCCATGCAAATAGTAGCCAAAAGGGAACTATACTAATATCAGATAAAGTAGACTTTAATTCAAAATTGCTACAGGAGAAAAAGAAGGGCATTATATGTTGATAAAAGGAATAATCCATTAAAAGATATAACAATTATGAATATATACGTACCTAAAAACAAGGCTCTAAAATACCTGAAGCAAAATTTGACAGAATTGAAGGGAGAAAGTTTGACAGTAATAGTTGGAGACATCAGTACCCCACTTTCAATAATAGAACAACTAGATAGAAGATTAATAAAGAAAAAGAGGACTTTAACAACACTTTAAGCCAACTAGACCTAACAGAGGTATATAGACCACTCCACCAAACAACAGTAGAATATACTTTCAAGCACAAATGGAACATTCTCCAGGGTATATCATGTGTAAAGCCACAAAACAAGTCTCAATAAATTTTAAAAGACTGAAATCATATAAAGCATTTTCTCTGACCGCAATGGAATGAAACTAAATAACAAAAGGATAATTGGAGAATTCACACATATGTGGATATTAAAGAACATACTCTAAAACAACCAGTGGGTCAAAGAAGAAATCACAAGGGAAATTTGAAAATACTTTGAGATGAATGAAAATGAAAACACAACATACCAAATCTTATGGGATGCAGAGGAGGCAGTGCTCAGAGGTAAATTTATATCTGTAAATACCTACATTAAAAATAAAGATCTCCAGTCAATAACCTAACTTTCCCATCTTAAGGAATAGAAACAGAAGAAAAAACTAAACCCAAATGTAACATAAAGCAGGAAATAACAAAGATAAGAGCAAAGAGAAATGAAATAGAGAATGGGAAAACAATAGACAGAATCAACAAAACTGAAAGTTGTTTTTTTAAAAAGATCAACAAAATTGACAAACCTTTAGCTAGACTAATTAAAAAAGAGAAAAGATACAAATAACTAGAATCAGAAATGAAAGTAGGGACATTATTACTGACCTTACAGAAATAAAAATAATTATAAGAGCATACTATGAAAAACAAATTAGGTAACCTAGATGAAATGGAAAAATTCTTACAAATACACAAATTACCTAAACTGACTCAAGAAGAAATAGAAAATCTCAACAGATCTATAACAAGTAAAGAAATTAAATCAGTAATCAAAAACCTCGCAACAAAGTATAGTCCAGGACCAGATGGCTTCACTGGTGAATTCTACCAAACATTTAAAGAAGAATTAACACTAATCTTTCTCAAGCTCTTCCAAAAACAGAAGAGGCAACACTTTCTAACTCATTTTCACTCTATGCTATGAGGCCAGCATTACCCTGTTACCAGAGTCAAGGACATCATAAGAAAATAGATGCAAAAATTCTCAACAAAATACTAGCAAATAATCTAGCAGTGTATTAAAAGGAATATGCACTGTGACCAAGTGAGATTCATACTGCATGTGCAAGGGTGGTTCAACATATGAAAATCAATCAACATAATACATCACATTAATAGAATAAAGGAAAAAAATCACATGGTCATCTCAACTGACGTAAAAAAAATTGTCAAAATTGACACCCTTTACAATAAAATCATTCAACAAACTAGACATAGAAGGAAACTTCCTCAACATGATAAAGGGTACTTATGAAAAGCCCACAGCTAACATCACACTCAACGGTGAAAAACTGAAAGCACTCCTCTTAACACCAGGAACAAGACAGGATTCCTGCTTTCACCACTTCTATTAAACGTTGTACTGGAAATTCTAGCCACAGCAGTTAGGAAGAAAGGAAGGGAAGGAGGGAGGGAGAGAAGAAGAAAGGAAGGAAAGGAAAGAAAGGAAGAGCATCCAAATTGGAAAGGAAGAAGTAAAATTATCTGTATTCACAGACGGCATGATCTTATAAATAGAAAACCCTAAAGAATCTTCAAAAACTCTTAGAGCTGATCAACAAGCTCAGCAAAGCTGCAGGATACAAGATCAACATGCAAAAGTCAGCAATATTTCTATACATTAGCAATGAAAATCTGAAAATGAAATTAAGAAAACAATTCCGTTTACAATAGCATCAAAAAGAATAAAATACCTAGGAATAAATTGAACCAAGGAGATGCAAAACTTTTACACTGAAAACTACAAAACATTGCTGAAAAAAGACCTAAATAAATGGAGACATCCCATGTTCATGGATTGGAACACTTAATATCGTTAAGAAGGCAGTACTCCCCCAAAGTGATCTATAGATTCAATGCAATCCCTAACAACATCCCAATGCCTTTTTTTCCTCTTTTCCAGAAATGAAAAAGCTAAACTTAAAATTCATATGGAATTGCAAGGGACATTGCAATCTTGAAAAAGAACAGACTTGAAGGACTCACATTTCCCAATTTCAAAACTACTACAAAGCTACAGTAGTCAAAACAGTGTAATACCAGCATATGGATAGATATATAGATCAATAGAATAGAATAGAAAATCTATGGTCAGTTTATTTCTGACAGGAGTGCCAAGACTATTCAATGGGGAAAAAATAGTTTCTACAATAAATGGTGCTGGGACAACTGGATCTCCACATGGAAAAGAATGAATTTGGACCCATACCTCACACCATATATGAAAATTAACTCAAAATGGATTGACCTAAATCTAAGAGTTAAGACCAAAGCTCTTAGAATAAAACATAGAGATTCCTTAGGTATGACAGCAAAAACAGAAGCAAGAAAAAAATAGATAAATTGGACTTCATCAAAATTTAAAACATTTATGCATCAAAGGATACTGTCAATAAAGTGAATAGAAAACCCACTGAATGGCTATAATTAAAAAAAAAGAAAAGAAAGAATAACAAGTGTTGGTAAGGATGTGGAGAAGTTGGAATCCTCATACATTGCTGGTGGGAATTATAACGTAGTGCAGCCACTGTGGAACAATTTGGCAGTGTCTCAATAAATTAACCATAGAATTACCTATGATCCAGCAATTCCATTCCTAGGTATATACACAAATGTTGTTTTTGTTAGATGTTATCAAGTCAGTTCTGACTCATGGCAACCTCATGTGTGCCGAGTACAGTTGCTCCACAGGGTTTTCAGGGCTGTGACCTTTCTTCCAAGCCACTCTGGGTGGATTCGAACTGCCAACCTTCTGGCTAGAAGTCAAGCACTTAACAATTTGCACCACGCAAGGACTTCCTGAGAGATGAGGAGGAGGTATTAATTGAATGGAGGCTGGAGAAACGGGCTGTATTTAAAAGACAGTAAGGGTTGTTGGGGGAGACCTGGAAAGAACAGCCCAAGCAGAGGTGGGAAAGAGCAGCGTGTGTTCAGATTAGTCGCTGGGTAGCATCTATGAAAAGGAGCAAGGGAAATGAGCCTGGAGAACCTTGATTTCCAAGTTAAGGAGTTTGGACTTCATGTGGTATGTATGAAAGTCTATTGAATGAGAATTTTAAATGAGAATTGATTTATTTTTGTCTTTTAGATTTAGGATCCAAAATCATTTCAACTTAAAAAGCATTTTAAATTTTTGGGGAGTCACCGATCTTTTTGATCCACTCAAAGCTAACTTGAAAGGAATTTCAGGTAACAACAGTTACTTCTTCCAAGATTTTTGGCATTGTGTTTTGGGCAGTCTAATATTTTGATTAAGAGCTTCTAATTGTTTCTACAAAGTCTTCAGTATTAAACAGCCAGAGTCAACATTATTGAATAGAATAAAGAAAGTGCTTTGCTTTATATAAGAATGTGTTGCTTCTGCTGTCGGTCATATTTGGGTTAGACTTTGAGGGCGGAGGTGTTTCCTTGGACCTTTTAAGCACTGTTTTTGGAGACCACCTTCATAGTGAGGTGCCCGTAAGACAATACAACTCACTTTTCCTCTGCCCTGTGTGACTAGGAACATGCCAGACACTGATGCAACAATAGAGTTCTTTATTCTGACATCCCACTGTCTCCCCAGCCCCAGAGTCACCCTTTCTTTCTACCTTTTCTGCCTCTCTTACCTCCTCTGGTCTCTTCTAATGAGCTAAGCTTGAAACTTTCCTTTATCCGTTCAACTTCCTTTCTTCAAATTACCCATGCTCCTGTAACCTAATCCTAAAATGTTCTGCTTCCTAGCAATCATATTGAACTTTTTGCCCACAGTAGACATGCTCCTACCAATCAATAGGGGCTGTGTTGCCTATGATCTGACAGGGGACTTACATAAAATATAAAAAGGGAGTGAATGCTAGAACCTCATATTCCAGAATCCTCTCAGGAGACCACTGGCTAAACTCTATTGCCCACCCCAAAGGCTCATGTTTGTTACTATTCTGAATGGTAAATTATCTGTGGGAAGATGACATTGTGGCAGACATTTTCATTGACCTTGATATCCCCCTTGCCTGATGAGCTTGAGAATCACTATTTTGAATGCTAGTGCCTCATATCACAGACAAGTTTTCTAAAGCTTTACCCAGAATCTTCCTTCCTAAGCACTCACAGAAAAAATGGGAGTTTGATCAACAAGAGGAGTCTTGACTTAGGCTTTAGATGTGACCAGACTGACTGGTAGAGTTACTTATCAAATAAAACACAAGAGGATCAACTTTATAGTGTTTAAAATCCACCAACTCTGTACTCATTACATAAACATGCAGAAATAAGCAAAGCAAGAGTCAAGTTTAGGCACAGTGCCCAGGACAATGCTTGGATACAGTGGGATACTCAATAAATATTGTTGGCTTGGTTAAATGCCTCAACCAGAAATTTTCCCTAGTAACACAGACATAATCTGACACGGCAGGGAAGGAAAGACTGGAGTAAAAGGGTCAGAAGGCAACAAAAGGGCAAGGGATGCATGCCATTTTTAATAGCGTGCGAATCAAATCCCAGTCTCGCGGCTCCACAGCTCAAGCATGGCACCCCTGTTGTTGATGGCGGTTCTGTTCTTCTCCTGATCATCCCAGTTAAAAACTTTGGGGCCATTGTTGACCTTTTCTTCCACACCACTACATTCAGTCAATCACTATGGCTTACTGAGTATTTCTTCATAGCTCTTAAATCTCTCTCCCTGTATGTCCTAAAAGTACATACTAAAATGCCAACAATCCTGTGCCCTCAAACAGGACTGAGCTTAACCCTCATTATCCATAAATCCCTCTGACAAGATCTAACAAGCAACCCAGTTTTTAAAGTACCTTTTTTGACACCTACCCTCTTTTTTTCGAATGCAATGCAGGTCTACTTATATTTGTTCAAACCAACAGAAATACAGGCCACCTGATCTGGCCTTATTTAATAATTATTGAGCAGTTACCATGTGCCAAATGTAAAGCTTTCATTCATGTTTTCTACTGATTTAAAAAAAAGTCTTATAATCTTCTCCCAGTTGTATTTCTCTAAAGCAGAGGTCAGTAAACTATGGCCTCCCACTTGTTTTTATAAATAGTTTTACTGAAACACAATCACTCCCATTCATTTACAAATTGTCTAGGGCTGCTTTCCCACTACAATGGCAGTTGAGTAGTTGGAACAGACACCATATAGCCTTTAAGGCTAAAATGTTTACGATCTGGTCCTTTCTGGAAAATTTTTGCCACCTAAAGTATTGCCTCCAATGCCTTTCTTTAAACATAATCAAGAGACTAGTCACTTCTGTGCCCAAGTGGGCTTTTGACTTAATTCTAGAGATATAACCACTGAATCTCTCCAAGAAAGAATTTCCTCCCTCCTAAAATGGGAATAACCACCACCCACCTCACATCTTAACTGTATCAGAAAATGCTGGCCTCCCTTCCTCCAATTAACAAGGGGTTACCAACCAGGTTTTGTGTTGTTGATGGAAGCCTGACAATCACAGGGAACATTTTGGCCTTTTCTTTGGTTCCAAAGCCCAGAATCATCTTATTATCTCCTTCCCTATTTAACAGTCATTCATCTTTTCCTTCTTGACAACAAATCCATTTTTTTGCTGCCTGAAGAACTTGCTCAATATCATCTCAAGGCCCTCTGAGCCCAAGGTGTAACCTACCCTCTACTCCCAGACATCCTTGACAGTAGGTGTCATGAAGCTTTAGAAGAGTAATTCCAGTTGTTTACAGTGCTAGAGACGCTCTTCTTGAGCAATGCTGAATCCTGTAGAATCAGCAGGCTTTGATGCAGTCCCATACCCCAATCCAAGAAATACTCCTTGTGCACAAACCTGAAACTCTGAAGAAACAATTTTGTTTTTTACTTTTATAAATGGGTAGTTTCCAATATCCACTCAGTAAGAAGTACAAGGTCCCTGTTACTATGACTTAAGTGAGCAAACCACTCATAGTTGTTTGGTTGAAACTGATTTTAATTTAGGCCATACCAGATGTCCAGTCAGAGCTGGAATAGACAGGGCTGGGTAACGGGCTAGAGGAGAGGAATGCAGAAAGCAACTAACCACAGCCTAGTTTCAGAGGCCATTTCAGATTCTTGTTAGCACTCTATCTCTACATCCTGGGCTGGGTGCTATGTGAACTCCACACTCCGCCATCTTTTAGCAACTACATGATAAGATGATGAGAAAGATAAACTAGAAGCAAGTCCTGGCAAAAACTTTTTAAATGCCACTAACTCTGCCAATAGTAAATAATAATAATTGGAAAGACCAAAAAAAAAAAAAAAAATGCCAGCAAATATGTTTGTCCTGCTTTATGAGAAGCTGAGGATCAAATATAGGGACATTGATTTACATTTTGCCAATCCTATGTTTACACAGTGTCTTACCATGAAAACTCTTAAACCTTTTGATAGTATGACCAACCACATGCAAAGAATGATGGAGAAGGTCTCCACTAACAAAGGGGAGAGGGGCACTGAAGTAATCATTCGGATAGCCTTCCTGGAGGAAGTCTGTGCCCCTGTGGAGATACAGACACCAACATTTTCTTACAAGTGAAATCGGGTTGAAAAACATCAAGGTAGCTGTTTTTAAGGGGAAAAGAGAACAAACGTATAGCGTGAGAGGTGTCTTTATTAGTCACTCAAGCAACATTTACTAAGCACATATATGTACCCAGCATTATTATGCTAGTTAGGCAAAGTAAGAAGTATTTAAAATGAATTTAAGACGTAGTTTCTGCCTTCTAGAAGCTCACAGTCTGAAAAGGAAGATGGATATGTTTGTAGAAGATGTTACGGAAGAAGGGAGAATATGCCAGGAGGGAGAGTAGGAAGAGTGTTCCCCTTTTAGTTTGGAAATTGTAATGTAGGGGCAAATGGGCTGATGGTGGGCTACAGTGTTTCCCAAAATATGTTCCCAAGAATGCTAGTCCAGTAAATTTGGGAGGGGGTGGTATGGGTGGTTCCATAATTAAACACTTCATATTATAACCCTCCTGGAGGGATTCACTACCAACATTAGCAAATTAGCAGCTCTAAGAAATCCGCTACTAAAAACAAAAACTGTTCAACCAACATTTCCCACATTTAATTAACCATGGAACCCTTTTTACAGAATAGCACCTATAAACAACAAATGGAATAAATGTTGGGAAACCAGGCTGTATGAATCTCAATGGCACTAAGGAGCTGCCAACACTGCAGGGAAGGATGAGCCCAAAGCCAGGAGGATCCCTTTGTACTTGCCCTCTTCTAGGTTGATCTCATTCGTTGTATAACATTTCAATAGCTACTTAGCAAGAGTAAGCAAATAAGGATCTGTAGTACTAGATCAAGCAAAAGGGAAAAAGTAAGCCCACAGATGACTCCTGAATTCTCATTTTGATCACAAAGCCTGGTCATCTGCATTGTCAACTCTTAAAGAGGCAACATGTAAGAGATGCTGATGCTGGGGTAGGCAGGCTGTGGTGTCTTGGCTTATGGCTGTGCAAACATGTGACCATCAGTTATTGGACCATTCCTGTAGTCTGGTGGGGAAAAGCTATTTAAATGAAACTCTTTGGTTGCAGTTTTAAGATACTGGAATAACCAAGCCCATGTAACCATCTAACTCATCCATACAATTGGTCCCATTTCTCACCCTGTGCCTAGACTATCATAGACACATGTATCTTAGTTGATAACCACCCACTGCCATTCAGTAGATTCCAACTCATAGGAACCCTATAGGACAGGATAGAACTGCCCCCATAGGGTTTCCAAGGCTATAAATCTTTAAGGAAGCAGATAGCCACATCTTTCTCCCACAGAGCGGATGGTACGTTCAAACCGCTGAGGTTTCAGTTAGCAACTGAAAGCTTAACCACTGTGCCACCAGGGCTCCTCCTTAGCTGACAAGGTGTTTCATAATGAACCTCTGCCCATTTCAGTATTTCTTAAAAATGCTCGGATGCCATACTAGATAGTAATGAAGTCACAGAGATAATCAAGCCTTGTCCCTACCATCACAGAACCATTCTTTATCCATAAAAGTCCTCTTCTTAATTTTGGCACTGCATTTCAGTTTGTTCAATGAGCTAGTGAGAGGCTAATTATTCCATTACAGAGAAGTGTTTGTTTTCTCAAAATTCCTGCAGAAAAAGACCAGCTGCTAAAATAAATCAGATTCTTCACTCAGGACAAGTGATGCCAAATGAATGCTTCCACTGATTTTCCGTTCCTGTGGCCCTTGTCTGGTCCCCCTTACTGATGCTGGAAAGTAATGGTTCTGTGCTCTGAAAATGGCCAACTCAAACTTTCTGTGCATACTTTATTTACCAAATAGATGAAATGCAGCATATTCTAGGCTGATTTCATTCTCTTACCACATTCATGGGTCAACTCTATGTATATGCCTGAAAAATGCAAACCAACATTATTAGTCTAAGATGAAACAAAGAACGCTTCCGCAAAACAATATGCATATCAAAATGATTTTAATACTCATGCCACAGATCCCTTTCCAGTGGCATGCTAGAGGTGACTAGAATAATTTCTGAAGGGGGTAGGTGTCCCTGGGTGGTGCAATTGGCCAAAGGCTGGTGTTAACCGAAAAGTTGGAGGTCTAAGTCCACCCAGAAGCACCTTCGAAGAAAGGTCTGGTGATCTACTTCCTAACAGCCATTGAAAACCCAATGGAGAATAGTTCTACTCTGAAACATGGGTCACCATGAGTTGGAGTGGACTCGACAGCAACTAACAGTGCATAGGTGTAGGGGTGGGGTGGAGATGGGTACTGACTCTTAGATCAGAAAACATGCATATTCCCAACTCTGCTCAAGTAGTGAACTCAAGATGGCTTAACAGTTCCTTCTAAAGTGAAAGGGTTGGACTGAATGATTTCTAAAGTGGCTTCTAATTCCAAAGATTCTTACTTTCATTCTTTGTTACCAAGTACCATTTTTTTCTGTGGAAAGTTGTTTGAAAATGGTTAATGATAAATTACAAAAATCTGTCAGTTCCCCTAAGTTATCCCTCATATTTCCTATTTACTAAGCTTATATTTTTGAAAATGTAACACACAGAACGATTATATTCTCACCTCTCATTTTCTTTGCAGATTCTAGCCCAGGAGGCAATTTAATTGAATGACTGCTATACCTAAGTATATGGAATGCAGTCATGCATTATACACGTTTTTAATACACTGAATTGTGCCTCTTCAAGTCCATAAAGCACACTTGTGACTTTGTCACTTGTAAGTGGCTCTTTAAACACAGTCCAAATAAGCATTCAAGGGAAATCATCTCAGATGCTTGCTAAAAATGTAGGTTCCTGAGCTCCAGAATCTGCCTTTTAACAAGTACCCTGCAGATTCTTATGACCACTGAAGTCTTAGAAATACTGGCTGAAGGAAGTATTTCAATACTAATTAGAAGTAAGTTTTGAAAATTAACTATTGAAAAAATGGGGCACTGATCTGAATATTAATTTGGGGGAATTATTTATTAGATAAATTTACCAAATTTGAGGTTTTTAAAGTTGCTTAAAATATTGAACTTTAAGAACTTTACAAATTCTCTCTCCCTAGCTATACAGCAGCCCTGGATACTAAAAATTTCAAGTACGTTCTTTAAAAATGTACTCAAATCCTTAAACTAAATGCATCAAAAAAAAAAAAAAACTAATAAGCAATTCACATTTTTATCATTTCCTGGGGTTAGGCCAAGACGGCTTTTATGTCACTGAAGCGATCCACAGGACCAAGATTGAGGTTTTAGAAGGCCCCAAGGGATCTACAGCCACAGATAACGTCCATAAGAACTCAGCAATACCGTTACACTGGTTGCCTAGATCTACTTTTGTTAAATGTGCCCATTTGAATTTTCACATTCCTAAATCTTTCAACTTAAAAACCAAAATCGAGATGTGGCATAGCTATTCTTTAAAATGTCTTAGGTTTACAGAAAGCAAAAAGGTTTTGAAAAATGATAGAAAAGAGATACCCATTTTGAAATGGATTTGTACCATTATCCCATAAACAAGGTATAGTCATTCTGAAAATTACTTTCGGTAAGGTATTTATTCCACATTTTGAAAATAGGAGAGAGGCTTGGCTAAGTAGAATCTTTCCTTTAATTTTCCAATTTGCGCCCCCATCACAACACTAAACCCTGGAAGGTCATTAGGATTTTTTTTCCAAAAATCCGGGGATATAACTGGTTTCTCATCCAATTTAAATAGCGGTTTTCTTCAAAGGTACAGAAAACGCAATGCGATTTCTCTGTTCCTTTTTTCTTGCAGCTCTGTTATTGAAAAGGTCTCAGATTCCTATTTTTAAAGCAGATCGGCCATTCATCTTTTTCCTGAGAGAACTCAACACAGGTATTACAGTATTTTTATAGGATTGAGATAAATATTAGCATCTCTCTAGCAACAAGGGCTCATCTGTCCACTACAGCCTGAAACAAGCGTTCTTTCTAGCTGTAGCTAGTTTCTGTGGTGTTTCAGAAGCTTCCCAGTTGCTGTGTCTTGTATCCTGAAAAAGGGGAGTATCTCATACCTACACAGAAAACTATTATCCTCAACATGTTTTGCCTGCTCTTTCTTTCAACTCATTTGTAGTTGATGTAGATTTTAAGATTCAGTAAGTTTCTACTTCTGGGAAGACTTAGAAATATTTTGAAAGTAAAACAACTGATAAACCTTGCCTATTTTTTCTCTTGGAATCTACCCTCCTCATCATTTTAGGAAAGAAGATGGTTTCTTCAGGCCACTAGAGTATCAGAGCAGTCCTCTAGCGTCTCTTGGCGATTCTAGTATTCTAGTGAATGCACCTGGGTTTCTGTACTGTTTTTCTGTTGAAAAGTTGAGGTGAGCCAGTATTTCTCAAGCTTACTGATATTACACAAAAATGTTTGTCCTACTACTTTTAAGTTCCACTGTACAACCTCAGCTTAATTCAAAAATAGTACAGTACAGACAATGCTGCAGTACATCAGAATGACAAGTACAAGTCCTTTAAGATTCAACGGCACTGAACAAAGTATTCAAATATTTCTCTTTCCAGCATAGTCTGCTTAATGTTCCTTTACCCCTCTGGCACTTGTTTATCAGCCTAGGAAGAAAAAGAGATTCTCAGTAAAGAGTTGTTGGCAAGTCTAAATAATATATTAAAAAGAAATAGGATGGAATAACACTAATAAAATCAAGCAAAGGTGGTTCTACTTAACTAAGCATCAGGCATTATTTTTATTAATGGAGAGAAAAAAATGTCAAAAGTTAGAATAATGAAAATTATGCATAGGTTTTACACAAATTGTCAAGGAAATACTGTCAACATTATTTTATCTGGGAATCATTTGCATACTGCTGTAACTTGTGCGAGAAATCAAAGGAACACTTTTGTGACCAAAAGGATGCGGCTCATCATTCATTAGAAAGTAGATGTGGGGTGGGGGGGCAGTAATCAGTAGACTGTATCCTCCTAGTGTTGCACCATGATCAACCATCCCAACCCCCTACTGATTAGGCGAAAATTTCACTTATCCCTCAGAACAGGAAGCTGAGAGCTCTTAGAAAGGAAGTCACAAAAAACCAAAGATGAAAAAAATGACAGGTTCTACTCCCTCGAGAAACAAAGACAAGGCTAAATTTGAACAGAAAGTTCATTGCTAAAAGCTGATAAACTAAAAAGGCTGATGACCGTTAAAAGAGAAAGATTCCTTTTTTGGAACTCGATTGCATAAAAACAATGTCAAATCCTTGGGCTAGGAAAAGACAGACAACTATTTTCAATGGTATGAGTTTTCAGAACTGTGTTAGTGATCAGAATGAAAATACAAGGCTAATCTAAAACCAGTTCCATAGTCCACCACAGTCTACACATACTGAAGTCCTTGTGAATTTATTTACTTCTCTTTTTGGGAGGCATTTGCCCATATCACACAAGACAAAGTGACTCCTCTTCTGATGACAGGGTACTGAATTTTTAGTACACCAAACTGACAAATCTTATTGATAAAGGCAACTAATGACTCAAGCAACTGACAGATGAGACACATAAGGGAACATTAAAAAAAAGGATCTCAACCTTTAGATTAAACTTTCAGAGAATATCATTTATCCAGCCTAAAACCATTCAGTGATGTAAAGGGCATAAAAGATATGATAAAAGCAAAATATACCTTCCTTCCCCTTTGCTTAGAAGTAGAATTCTACAGTAAGTATTTCACTAATGTAGTTAATATTCCCATAGTCTTTTAAAATGCAAAAAGCCTGAGAGACATGGGGCACTAAGTTTTAGTTTAGATGGATGTTGATGTGAGGGTGTAAAAAGTATGGTGACAGAAAGGACAAAAAAAAGAGGAAACTTAACAAATGGCTGCTTCCTAACTCCCTCCAGGGTTCATCTCCCCCAAAATCTTAAAGGTCTAAAGGATTATTACCTCATGAACAACCTGTCAAATGGAAATAAGAATTTTCTGATAAGGAAAACTGCTGAATACTGGAATAGATTCTCTTTCCTACATATTCTTAAGTATGAGTTTGTATCTTAATGATTTCCAATCCCTTTTATTAATCTCAGAATCTAAGTATATATAATTTAAGACCAGACAGTATACCTGGATTTGTTCAGCTCTTGCTGAATTTAGCAATGTGACTGCAGGCAATTACTTTAACAACTCCACCTTTTAAATGATATCCTGCTTTACTTAAAAAAGTATTTTACAGATATAAAAAAGGTTTAAAGGACTGCATATTAAAATACTATATAATGTTACATTAAATTCTTCTTTTTCTTGACAGGGTTTGTCTTCAGAATTGGGAGAGTTTCAAATCCCCTAGATTAAATTAACAGATCTCTAGCATGCCTTCACTTTCATCTATGTTTTTCTTCATCAAGTTAGTTTCATTTTGCTATACCCTTGAACTTTAAAAAATGATCTGCTAAAGTATAAAAAGGGTATGCAATTTTCAATCATTATGAGTCTAAAAATACTTCAATTTTACTGTAAATTTATTTCCCTTTTAATCCAAACGTATTTAAACCTTCTTTTCTACCAGTTACTCCACAAAACACTGTAAGGCACAGCAGTGATCTAGGAATAATGAGTGAGTCAGGTCATAGGATCACTTCCTCAGTAAGGAAACACAAGGCCATGTTGGATTGAGGGTGGAGAATGAATAGTACAGGTTTTTCCTTATCCTGTGTAACTCAGGGGGAATGCAAAGTGATCATAAGCCAGGTCATCTTAAATGTGTGTCTTTCCATTTATCTTCTAAATAAAATTGAGAACTTAAGTATGAGAATAGCAAAGCAGAACAAAGGGATCCCCCCTTTGTTGGACCCCCAATTTATTGTGGGCCTTCTGTAAGCATAGCACCAAGTTGCTACAGGCTAGACATTTCAGAGTATGTCATATCCCCACACTTACCACTCCCTAACAGCTTCAATAAAGTGCAATCCACAAACTCAGTGAGAAGGGAAAAGGGGTTGAAGAGAAGTAAGGAAACCAATAAAGTCCAAAGTCTGCTTTTTAAACAGCTCTGTAAGTGTCTGCCTATGGGCCACAGATACAGTTGCTTCCATTACGTAGACAAAATGGGAGGACATTGGTGTGGACAAAAACTAACACCATGGAATAAAAAGACAACGCAGATTATCTAACATGTAATTACAGTTAGGTTTAACAACTATGAACTTCCAAGTGGTGTGTCTTTCCAGTGCTAAAAAGCAACGCCTTTAAGATTCCATTAACTTTTTTTTTTTTTTCAAATGATTACTTTAAATGTGATTATTTCCTAAACCACACAAGAGTAAAATAGAGCATTTATTGATGGAATAACAAAAGTGCTTTTCTTAAATATTCTTCAAAATACATTTGTACAACTTACAATAATATATCCAAAATAACTGTATATACAAAACATTACCTAGTTTTAATGTATGTGCTTTTTTCCCCAAAAATTACAAAGTAACTTTTTTTTTTTTTTTTTTTTGGCAAAGTTCAACCTTAACAGAGGTGACAATTTTAAAGGTTGGTTTAAGAAAAGAGAACCTGAGGGAAATTGACACGCAAGAGTCAATGACAAGCAAGAGATTTGAAGGAATATTTTTAGTTTGTTAAATAAAAATTTTTTTTAGAGTGATACTTTTCACATTACAAAAATAAACCAAAATGAAGGTCACTGTAAAATGATGGAAAAAGGATCTGTAGACTTGCTTTTTGTATTCCAAATAACCAACAATGCATGTCAAAAAATGAATGCAAGATCACAATAGTCTTATATTTACTTTGTATTTGGAGAAGATAGTGAAATAAGTGGCCACATTCTATTTTCTTTTAATTGCTATTAATATGGTTGATCTGATTGGCTCTTCGATGAATTTCATCCAAAAAGTTCTCCAGTTGTTCTATTAACATTCGTTTTTTAAACCTGTATGGAAAAACAATGCCACTCTTAATTTCTTTTTAATGAATAGTTATATACCAGTACAGTGTTTAAAAAAAGAGAGAAATTGTTTTTGGAAACTTTTCTAAATAAGAATGAAAAATGAGCATGCTATTATATATAAAATCTATTGAGAGATTAACAAATTATCAAATGAGTACAGTATTAGTTTGTCCCTAAAACAAATAATCTAGACCTAGGTACCTACATACAATAGCAAAGAGGTTATTCCTTCCACAACCAAAAAGAAAAAGGGAGGAAAAATTAATGTATACAAGGGTTGCAAATAGTCTAGCATAGTTTGGGCTCACAAAACAATCCAACAGTTTCTTCTCATACACTAAAAGTTAATGTTGAAAGTAATATGAACAAAGTATGACTATAATCCCCCACAAAATGGAAGGTGAGATGAGAGTTGGGCAAGAGCATTTAAAAACCATGCTGTTCTGCTGTTCCAACTAGAAAGCTAGCAAACCAAGGATAATCAGACAGCTAATATAGCAAACAGCATTCAAATGGTAATTTTTAAAAATTTTAGTAATAAATGTAGGTAGCCTAATTTCAAATTAAAATTGCATTTATCTACATAAGAATTAATACTGCTGATGCTTTTTAGAATATCTAAGAACACTGTGCAGCCTATACCTGCTTCCTCTCTACCTGTCACCTACTATGAACAGCCACTGGACTATTACACAACTCTTTTAAAAGCAAAAGTGAAGTACAAGTACCTGCCACATACACAGGAATACAGCTAAATCCACAATGAGGTCTGATCTGACAGAACGTTAATATAAAGAGCATAACAGGTGAAATACTCAAAATTATGTGACTAGTTAGGGCCTTATCTTGATCTTTAAAGTGGTCTGTGTTCTAGCCACTCCAAAAAAAAAAAGCAACCGCTCTATCTAAAAATTGCACTATCTTTAATGTGAAACATGGAAGAGACTAGTAGACTAAGTCGGGGGGGGGGACTATGCTTACATTTAGAAGGTCAGACTAAGTTTCCTTACAACACTAAGATTCTATAAGTCTTGGAAGAAAAATAAAAAATGCTTTTTGTATTTTCTAAACTCAACAACTATGCTTTTCCATTGATTGCACTTCCTAGTTACCATTTATAACCTTGATCTATATTCCTTATACTAAAGTACATAAACCTAGGCTACTGAAAGCAATCAGAATAAGGTCAATTTGTGCAACTCTGTTTCCCTTAATTATAGGTTTTCCCACGTACAAATGAACTGCATTCAGATATTGCCTTTCGAGGTTATTTCTAATCACTGATTAACTGTGGTCCAAATATTTTAAGAAGAGAAATTAAAGACTATAAAAAAATAAAGACACCAAAAAGTCACAGAGTAGGATAAATGAGAATTATTTAAGTATCCAATAATTTTCTTGTCCATAATTTCTGAAGAATTTGTGTGTTGTTAATTTTTAACTGAAGTTCTTTTATAAACTAAAAATGAGAAGTACTTAAATACATGTGGGTGTGTAAGCATAGACAATACAAGTGCAAAACAGATTCTATTATAATACTGGCTATATAAACTGAAGACTCATTTCATAATGTGCTGTAGTTTATTTACCTTGATGCTTCTTTGATGACATTTTGTAGAAATATTAGTCTTGTTTGTAAACTGCCTTGCACATGCTTCAGTAAAGTGAAGATTCTCTCATATTCTTAAAACAAGAGAAGAATTATGTGGCTTTTATTTGTATCCTTATTCAATATCTTTCTATTGCAGTTTACTATATTAAGACATACTAAGACAAAAACAAAAATATTCTACATAAAAACTTCACCGCTCATTTAAGATTTTATAATACATTTTAAGATGTATGTGTGAAAGAAAATAAACATCAACACCGATAACTTCTCAGACTTTTTTTAAAGTTCCCATTAAGGTATCAGTCATAAAGCTTAGAAGGATGAGTAAATAGCTTTTTGGTAGTACCACTGAAAAAGAGGCAAGTAGCCTTTACAAAAAACCATCCTTATAAATTCTAAACTACATCTAACATGGCGGTAAATGGTGGGGGGTGGAGGGGGACGGGGAATCAGGTTAAGAGTACTACTTCAGTTTCAAGCTTTCACATAAAATTCTGCCAAGTACTACAACACTACAAGCTCCTAAACAGCAAGTCTTACCCACTTCTGACCCACCCATGGGTCCGTGTACCATCAGAGCAGGTGATGTCAATATCTTCTGAATGAATGCTGACAATACTGAATTTTTTTTCCTACAAAGTTCTTCTGCATTCATGTAACAGTTTTCATAACTTTAGTTTTTTACTCTAAACATATCCCTGGTCATTATCATAGCTTCAATCTTAAACACAGTTGGCAGGCACTATGCCAAGAACTTTACAGAATGAAATCATCTAATCTTCACCACATTTTTTTGGGTTAGCTACTATGCTAGCTGCTAAGAAGAATACTCAAGAATATGAGTTCCTATCACAGCAAGAACTACGTGTAATTTATCTGTGTATTCTTCGCTGCTCTGGGTCCCTGCTGCCTACTATACCTAGCATAGTACCTTGGACACAGCAGATACTCAGTAAATGTTCGTCAGCTGAATAAAGAAATGTTATATAGCTCAGATGTTGTTCAAGACTAATCTAGATTCATTCAGATCTATGCTTTCAGTTAATGCAACTTTTTTGTTTTATAGAAATCAAATCTGAGGCTTGTCTCTAATTATACATACTTCTTCCTGGTTTTCGAATCTCTTTCATTATTTGTGCTTTTAGTTCAGTGTTAACCTCTTCATGGCTTCTGCAATGCATCAATTTCTTTCCTTTGTTGAGTGAAGATGCTGGTATATTCTCTTCAGCACATTGTTCTTTATCTCTGGGCTCCTCATGATTTTCTAAAAATCCACCAACAGTTAGGTCATTAGTTCCTAAATGGTCATGACCCAGAGCCTCTGTATGATTGGTTGGTCGTTCCAGTAAACTGGCTGGAGAAGATGATGCTGAAAATTCAGTATCCATAGCATTTGGTGTAATGTCTGATGGAAGTTGGTCTGCAACATGATTTTCAACCACATCATCTATTGCCGAATCATTAGTGGTTTCTGAAACTAAAAACAAAGATAAGGGGTAAAAAAAAAGAAAATGATGAGAGGCAAGCACACAGTAAAGACAGCTACAAAGGAACACCATATATATACATTATATATAGCAAATCAATTTCCTTGACTATCACAATTAACAACATGATATGGTTAAGTTTTGCCAAAGAAGATATGGTACATTTCAATTTGAAACTTGCATAATATTTAAAAAATCTGTACAATTTCTGCCCTTAGAAATAAAATTAAAAATAAAGCCTATTTCAACCAGCTTTTAGTTCTCTGGTTGATCCTATGGCAATTTTATTGAACAAGTAGGTTTTTTTTAATGCTTTAAAACCAGTTGCCATCGAGTTGATCCAACTCATGACAATGCAGTGTGTGTCAAGAGTAGAACTATGCTCTCCATGGCGTTTTCAATGGATGATTTTTTCAGAAGCAGATGGTTACACCTTTCTTCTTAGGCATCTCTGGGTGGACTCAAACCTTCAACCTTTTAGTTGGCAGCAAAGAACGTTAACCATTTGCTCTGCCCAGGGGTTCCTTTTATGTCTTAGTGAAATACATAAGATCAAAATTATCATGGCCATTTTTCCCTTAGAGAGCCCTAGCTCATTCCAACCTGACTCTGCCTTACATATCAATTATCATTTATAAGCAAAAGCGAACACTGGAGGACTTGATGGCCAGTTAATACTGTTCCACATTCTGCAGGGAACATAGCACTTAAACATGTCCAGTTTCACATCGCACCTTTTTCTTATAACGAGCTATCTAGTGCTCATTATTTGAGCAATGAGAGCAAGCTGGTGCCCACTTCAGCTCACTGGTCCACCAGGCCCTGAAGCCTGCCACTTAACACCAGGTTATGAGACTTGCTCCCCACAGGAAACAGCTGAAT